CGAGGAAGGGGCTCGCTCCCCCCGGCGGGACTGAGCTCCAGACGCGGCTTTGTCACCAATCAGAGGCTAGAGGTCTGAAGCAGCGTCACCGGTCGGTATCCGCTAACTCGGTTTAAAAGCAGCTCGTCTCCGGTCTCTGACACATTTTTTCTCTCTCTCTTATTAGAGAATCTTAAACCATGGCAAGAACTAAGCAGACCGCTCGTAAGTCCACAGGAGGCAAAGCCCCCAGGAAGCAGCTGGCCACCAAGGCTGCCCGTAAGAGCGCCCCGGCCACCGGCGGCGTCAAGAAGCCCCATCGTTACAGGCCCGGTACCGTGGCTCTCAGAGAGATCCGTCGTTACCAGAAATCCACCGAGCTGCTCATCCGCAAGCTGCCCTTCCAGCGTCTGGTCCGTGAGATCGCTCAGGACTTCAAGACCGACCTGCGCTTCCAGAGCTCTGCTGTCATGGCTCTGCAGGAGGCCAGCGAGGCTTACCTGGTCGGTCTCTTCGAGGACACCAACCTCTGCGCCATCCACGCCAAGAGGGTCACCATCATGCCCAAAGACATCCAGCTGGCCAGAAGGATCCGTGGAGAGAGAGCTTAATCTGTCTACTGCTCCAAACAACCACAACGGCTCTTTTAAGAGCCACCACATTTTATTTAAGAGATGATCCTGTACTGTCTTTAATGTATAGAGATGCTCAGTTTATTATTTCATTCTATTCCCATGTTTTCAACTATTTCTGTCATACAGTACTGCAGCCTCAATACTATTACAATGTAGTCATAGATCATGTATATAGAAACCATAGACGTAGAGCACAGACATACTACAAAGTTATTAATATAATAGACACTACATGTATGTTACATTAAATTTGTTCTCCACTTAACTATATTTGAATTTGAGGAGTTATTGAAACTAATCACAAGAGTTTTGTCAGTTAGATAAACAGTACACATGTATATTTAATTGTATTATCTCATAAAGAGACATTGTCAATATTTAATCTCTCTCATGTTTCTTGACATGTTCAGATTTCTAGAATCATCGTTCAGCTAAAAGAACTTCAGTAAATCACCAGCACACACTATGAACTCAGGAATCACTTCCTCACTTCCACTTCCTTTTTTTTTTTACAATAAATAATTGAGTCCCATAAAAACATTGAAGTTGACACCATTACTTCTACAGGCCTTTAAGTTTGGATCACAAACGGGTTCACTGACGACCACTTGGAATAAATATAACAGTGATTCATAAAGACGGTTAAGATGCTACAGGATGCTCCTCATACAGATCCATATCATTTTACTGATGATAAAATACTAACTTTAGTTATAGCCTGTAGATTAAAGGATACTGTACCTGATATTATAAACAATGATGAATGCAGGTTAAGATCCACCACATTAGTTTAATTATCTTTAAAGACGCACTATGGGAACAAATAATGACCTCTAAAGACACAGTTCTCTGAACCACCACAGACACATCAAAGAGTCTCATATGAAAACTATATTCATCAAATATGTGTGTCTTTATATAAAACACACACACACACACACACACACACACACACACACACACACACACACACACACACACACACACACACACACACACACACACACACACACACACACACACACACACACACACACACACACACACACACACACACACACACACACAATCCATGCACATGATAAAAAAGTCTTGTTATAAAAAAGTGATTGATGGACTGAGGAAACACACAAGAAGATAATAAAACACTAAAAGATAAAAGAACAAGATGATCTTTAAATCAACTAAACAGACTCAGATAAAAAATATATGTTTAATCAAAACTACTTCAAAGTTAGATACTATATTTAATATATATTCAGTAAAAAGCCAGAATAAAAAGGTCTTCAGTTTGCTTTTATAAATGTCGACATGAAGCCGTGGAGATGAAACGATAATGATAATTATCAGGATATAAACATCGTGTGTTGACCTCAGGTCTTCAGGTAAACTCATCCATCATCTGGGCCTCACTTTAACTTTTCCTGTTGAACTTTACACTGTAAGGGAATTTTAATAAACTTGTGAAGCACTTTGGATTAGAGAAGAGTGAAGCTGGATTTTCATCTCAGGACTTCTTGAATCACCTCTCTGTGACTGACCAACTGGTAATTATCATCTCTATTAAGAACAGTGTGATTCTCTTTGCTCTGCTCTCCATGTTTGATTCTATTGTGTGGAGGTGTGGAGTGCCTTTGAGTAGACGTTCTGCTGATGATTGTCTGTGGGTGTGGTTGTTTTCTGTAGTGTTTTTTAGGGCCCGAAGCACTGACAAGTGCGTAGGACCCTATTGGAACCCAAATGGTTATTTTTTTTTTTCTTCCTCCACTTCAAACGTGATTTCGAGGGCCTGAACGTGCCCGAAAACTCAGCAACATTTGCTCAGTCATCGGGTCCGTTCAAAATTTTGATATTTTGTCGTTTTCATGAGCGAAGTTTGCAAATTACTCGACGGCACCCCCTTTTGAATTTTAGGAATAGGTTTTTTTTTGCCTACATACATGAAGATTTTTTTTATATGTTAGAGCAGGCTGAGACCTACAAAAGAGTCATTGGAAGTCATCGTCTCAAGTTTTCACTGTTTACAGGGTACCTGTTTGAAAGCATCCGCCCGAGACTGTTTATCTGATCAATTCAAGTTTGGTGTCAAATGAAAGTAGACAAGTTGAAGAATAAAAGTTTTGCTCAAATCACGAGGTTTCGAAATAAGGCGTGGCCGTGGCGTGATGTCAAAGTTTGATGTTGTTTTTGGCGTGATGCCAAAAACAACATCAAACTTTGACATCACCATCAGTAAATGGTTATGTCTCTGCCATGCAGTGTTCAATCATTAAAATTTCTCATTCTCATATTAGTCACAGCGCCACCTGTTGACAACAGGAAGTTACTGCTTCTCAATTAGCATTAGCCATTGCTATAAGGTAGCTCATTTCTCACTCAAAATTGGTGTGGACCATTCTGACAACCTGGCCATACAACACTTTCAAGCTCAAACATCTCCGTCTAACGCTCTCGCCATACGGATGCATCATTCGCCATCAAACAGGAAGTGGCTGTAACTCTCATATACTTTGTCTGATCTGCCTCAAATTACACAGGTATGATCAGGGTTGGCATAACAATAGTCAACTTTAACCATAGCGCCTCCTACTGCAAGGACTAAGTACTACACAATGATCAATTTGCTCCAAATTTCACAGGTATCATAACAGTGCCAGCCTGAACTGCTCTACGTAAACATTTTCTGTGATCTTCATTACGTTGCCTATTTCAACATGCCAGTTTTACCTTTTTTTCACAAATGGAACTGCACGGCCTGCTGCTTAGCCACGTTCTGCTGCTGCTGCACTCCCGCAGTCGCGACACACCCCAACATGCACCGGGGTGCGAGGGCCCTTCTTCACCGCTTGCGGTTTTAAATGTTTTAAATGTTCTCTGATGTATTGAGACTGTAGGAGAGTTTGTCTCTTTTTTAAGTCACTGTGAGCGACCCTTCAGAAGAGAACCATGTCCAACTGTTCCAAATGTCTCCCAGAGTGTCATGACGAATACAGAGAGATTACAGATCACCTGAGGTTTTTGTCTACAGTTTTCTGATATGGCCTTTATATTTTTTTTCATCTAGCGTTAACACTTAAAATCTTTCTCATCTGAGTCGTGTGTATTTTTCTAGAATCATCGTTCAGCTAAAATAACTTTACTTTAAAATCACCAGCACACACTATGAAAGCAGGAAGGTAAATTCAATGCCTCATTGACAGTTTTTTCAATTTACATTTTCTACACTTTCTTATTTTATGTTACATATCACATCCTCTCTTATTGTGTTCATGTCACATTTATACATATTTAAATAGGCAAAGGGGACTCATGACATCATGTCATCGTGACATTATATTAAATAAGTTAAATAACTACAACTACAAAACTTAGAGATAAATGTCACTGGGGATATAAATCCGATGACTTTATTGGGAATGAGCTAAAGCAATGTTTCTCATATCACAACACAACATTTAAATAAAGATTAAAACAATCAAACAGAGGACATTACAGCAACATGTACAATGTTTGGAATAAAACTGTACAAAATAAAAAAAATTCTAAAATGAAATAAAAAAGAAAGAAACACAAAGATGAAGAAATGATCCGAACAGAGGAAGTGGAGACATTAATGAAATTATGCAAAACATGAATTATGACTTCTAGCATATAGACTAAAGAAGCAAGACAGGATAAATGACTGACTTGAAAACAGGAAGTGAGCTGAACTTGTGACAGAATGAGACAAAGTAGATGAAGAATTTGCTAAATATTATAAAAGACTCTTCTAAAAAGAAACAGAGTTTGAAGTGAGGAGCTTCCTTATGAACAGGTTAAGACAGGAACAGAGCCAGGTAATGTGCAGATAATTGAATTTATAAGTAGAAGTAAGAACAAACAAGAAAAAAAATACTATTGCAGACAATACCAAAGAGAGATGAGAAACAGAAATGCGATAATGGATTTAGATGGGATTTAAAAGTTTAATAAAATAAAGTTTTTTATTTATTTATTTTCAGTTTTATTGATTTGTTCTGTTCTCTCAGTGTGTTTACTTGTTGAATTTGTGCTATTGAAATAAATTACAATATAACATATTTGTGTTAGGTTGTTATAGACTTTCTTTTTGTTTCAACTTTCAGTCATGATTTTTTAAAGGTGTGCTGTTAGAGCTTCCTGTTCTCCTCTCCTGGATGTTTTTGATGACCTTCGCTCTCCGAGGTGCTGAAATGATCTCTGCTCCAGCATGTTGTGTCGTTCATTTAAAAACAGAATAAAAACAATTATTATCTTCTTTCATCTCTGCGTGAATGACTTCACGCAGAGATGTTGAATGTGATCTGGTCAATGTGGACCCCAGTCAGTCTAGCAGGAGTCACGCTGTCCCTGATTCATGCTGCTGATCAGAGGGGGGCGCTAATGATTCATAGGATTTTGTCTTTAAAAGACTTGATCGAAGAAGAAGAGAAAGCAGAGCAGACTTCTGACTTCTATAAGGTTCTCAGACAGGATTTAAATAATCGTGAATTCTGACGCACCAGTATTCAGCTCTCAACAACTGATCTGCTAACATGTCTGGAAGAGGAAAGGGAGGTAAAGGACTCGGTAAAGGAGGCGCTAAGCGTCACCGTAAAGTTCTCCGTGATAACATCCAGGGAATCACCAAGCCCGCTATCCGCCGTCTGGCTCGTCGTGGTGGAGTCAAACGTATCTCTGGCCTCATCTACGAGGAGACCCGTGGTGTGTTGAAGGTCTTCCTGGAGAATGTTATCCGTGATGCCGTCACCTACACCGAGCATGCAAAGAGAAAGACCGTCACTGCCATGGATGTGGTTTACGCCCTGAAGAGACAGGGACGCACTCTGTACGGCTTCGGAGGTTAAATCTTATCCTTACCTACTCACACTGAAACCCAAAGGCTCTTTTAAGAGCCACACACTTCCTTTAAAGAGTCAACCCCATTACACACTTAATATAAAGAGTCGTTCCATACTCAATATGAAGTTGTGACGTTGGTTTAACTTCTCATCACCTATATACGACAAGACGCCTGCTGCAAATGCTTCTTGTGAGAAAACAAAAATGTACAAAAGAAGTTTTGATCCCTCCTTTTGTTATAGTAACCATCCATCAAGTATGCTCAAAACATTTGCTACATCAAACTCAATAATTAAAGATGCTCTGCATCAAGTCTCATCCCCTTAAAGGAGAATTACAAATCAAGATGCTTAACAACCAAAGGGACTTAGCTGACTATGGTTTTATTTCAGTAATAGACAACTCATGTTGGTGATAATACAAAACCGGGCTCTTCAAGTCCTTGAAGAATTGAACTGAATACAACGACTCACTTTGCTTGACTTTGACCTGAGCAATCATTGTCATAAAGTTCAATCAAGCTTTATTTTAACTTAATAGAATAGACATACCCAAACTGGGGCTGTAATGCTTTCAAGGCGTGGTTCTCATGCTCTAACGTAAGAAATGAATGTGAATAATAGAGGTATAGGAGAGTCATCCCACGTACGTGAAATATCTTACAACCAAAATGAACATCTCCATAATGAATTAATGACCCCGATTTGCAGGTATATATATGTTGCGTATAACAGGACAGTCAGGATTTCAGCTCTTTGATGAAATGTTGTGTGGTCCTTAAAAGGACCGTTGTGTTGCTGGTTATCAGCGGGTTTACTTGGAGCTGGTGTACTTGGTCACAGCCTTGGTGCCCTCAGACACGGCGTGTTTAGCCAGCTCACCGGGCAGCAGCAGGCGGACAGCGGTCTGGATCTCCCTGGAGGTGATGGTGGAGCGCTTGTTGTATTGAGCCAGACGGGAGGACTCCCCGGCGATGCGCTCAAAGATGTCGCTCACGAACGAGTTCATGATGCCCATAGCCTTGGAGGAGATACCGGTGTCGGGGTGGACCTGCTTCAGGACTTTGTAGACGTAGATGGCATAGCTCTCCTTCCTGGACTTTCTCCTCTTCTTCCCGGTCTTGGTGGCCTTAGAGACGGCTTTCTTTGAGCCCTTCTTGGGCGCTTTCACGGGTTCAGGCATGTTTTCTGAGAGGTGATACCGAAGTGAGTGTCAGAAAGCAGTATATATTTGGTGTTGAAGCAAATAAGGAAGTGCTGTTGCTCACACAGGATTGGCTGAGATTTGTGCGCTCGAGGGTGAGCGCGAGATGCGAAAGCGCGAGTTTTCAGTCACGTGACCGGAGCTGAAGCCTGGAGGCCAAAATGAGTTTAGGAAAGTAACGTCTGATGAGCTGCAGCATGGGTTTTTATTTTATCTGTTGAAAAACGACCATCGATATCACATCATCACAACAGAATTTGGTCATTTTTGACAAATAATCTGACCCTTAATCAACTAATGTCATTTCCACCACATCTAAACAAACAGCATTTTGTCTAAATGACATTTGACACCCCCAAATAAATATATGAATATTTCATAACTAGTTCTGCAATTTTACACCATTTTTAAAATTTTATACATTTGTTAATTCAATTAATTAAATGTCACAAGGGTCAAATGGCTTAACACACATTAACCTAAATATGAAACCTAATGTTGGATTATGTAAATACTGTTTTCAAATAAATAAATAATAATATTACATTTAGTAGAGTATGAGCTAACAAATTGTGAAGAAGTTTTTAATGTGTAATTAGAACTTTTTGAATATTTTCAAAAATATGTGCAGTGATGGAATTGACAGTTTATGTACTTTGATGTAGAAAATCTTAATTTGAAAACAGTAAACACATTAAAAAATGCAACCCAGCTTTACATTTTAGCTTTGATTTAATTATAGATATTATATTTAACTTAAAAAATATTTCCTACGAGGCGCTGGAGGCGCAGTGGTTAGTGCGCGTGCCCCATGTATGGAGGCTATAGTCTTCCAAGCAGGCGGCCCAGGTTCAAGTCCAGCCTGTGGCTCCTCTCTCACATCCCCCACTCTCTCTCCCTGATTTCCAACTATACCCACTTTCCTCCTACCAACTTCCATGGAGGTACAGCGTGTTTGGAAATGACATACAATAAAAATAATATCTACTCAAGCAACCAAACCTAACCAATCTCTCTTTCAGATGTTTTGGTGGAAAAATACATCGCTGTGGTGGAAATGACGGTTAAACTGTGTGACATACACTGCCTGGCCCAAAAAAAAAGTTGCCACCAAAAAAAAGGTCACACACTCTAATATTTCGTTAGACCGCCTTTAGGTTTGATTATGGCACGCGTTCGCTGTGGCGTTGTTTCGATAAGCTTCTGCAAAGATTTATTTCCGTCCAGTGTTGCATTAATTTTTCACCAAGATCTTGCATTGATGATGGGAGAGTCTTCTCCACCACATCCCAAAGATTCTCATTGGGGTTAAGGTCTGGACTCTGTGGTGGCCAATCCATGTGTGAAAGGGATGTCTCATGCACCCTGAACCACTCTTTCACAATTTGAGCCCGATGAATCCTGATGAATCATCTTGGAATATGCCCGTGCCATCAGGGAAGAAGAAATCCATTGATGGAATAACCTGGTCATTCAGTATAGTCAGGTAGTCAGCAGGCACATATTGTTGTTGAACCTAGACCTGACCAACTGCAGCCCCCCAGATCATAGCACTGCCCCCCCAGATCATAGCACTGCCCCCACAGATCACAGCACTGCCCCCACAGGCTGGTACAGTAGGCACTAGGCGTGATGGGTGCATCACTTCATCTGCCTCTCTTGTTACTCTGATCACTCTGGGTAAATCTTCCTTCCAGTTTTTAATAACGCGTTGGACAGTTCTCAACCCAATTTTAGTAGTTTCTGCAATCTCCTTCGATGTTTTCTCTGCTTGATGCATGCCAATGATTTGACCCTTCTTCTTAAACCACCACAGGATGGGTCTTTCAACATAGTAGTTTAAGAAATGAGAAGCTACTCATTGCATCAGTTGAGGTTAAATAACTTGTTGCCAGCTGAAAGATAATCGCCCATGCAGTTATTATCCAATGGGAGGCTCTTACCTATTTGCTTACCTAAATGCAGGTAGCAACTTTTTTTTGGACAGGCAGTGTATATATTTTGAGTAAAAATTAATATTTACACTAAAATAAGCAGGTAGCAACATTCATATATTTTAAACAGGTTTGTGTGTGGGACGAGGGCAAAACAGTTGAAAAGTAAGTAAAATACATATTGGAGAAAAGATAAAAGCTTTTATTCTCTATTTATTGTATTTAATAAATTGTAAATATGACCAAAGAACCTGAAAGTTTTTGTAGTCAAAGAACCATAGCTTTCTGTAGTTTAGATTCATCATGATAACTAGACCATCATCACTTATTCACTGCAGGACAATTAACTTTGAGTCAAACACATTTCATATGATTGTAACTGTTTATGTATATTTACTTTGTTATTGACACATCTAATTTGATGTGTCTTAATATGTATTTATACAATTGAATGGTCTTGATTTTATTAACTGTAGTGGAGAGAACAGATTGAATAAACTGTGACGATCAGTTATCAATAAGCAATAGTTTTGATATAGCCTACTTGTTCAGTCAGACTCACTTAAGTTTACTTGTTATCATCCTGCACAGCTTCATTTTTGTAATTTATGTAACATGGACAGTGAAGTACACTTTAATGTATCTGTGGTTGCAGCACTGTGCCAGTGTCAGTTGACAAGATGGGATTAGAATAAAATGTTGAATTCATCATAACTTAAACAGGCAGTACAGGAAGAACTCTTTAAAATGAAATGTGGTGGCTCTTAAAAGAGCCGTTGTGGTTGTTTTGGAGCAATAGACAGATTAAGCTCTCTCTCCGCGGATCCTTCTGGCCAGCTGGATGTCTTTGGGCATGATGGTGACCCTCTTGGCGTGGATGGCGCAGAGGTTGGTGTCCTCGAAGAGACCGACCAGGTAAGCCTCGCTGGCCTCCTGCAGAGCCATGACAGCGGAGCTCTGGAAGCGCAGGTCGGTCTTGAAGTCCTGAGCGATCTCACGGACCAGACGCTGGAAGGGCAGCTTGCGGATGAGCAGCTCGGTGGATTTCTGGTAACGACGGATCTCTCTGAGAGCCACGGTACCGGGCCTGTAACGATGGGGCTTCTTGACGCCGCCGGTGGCCGGGGCGCTCTTACGGGCAGCCTTGGTGGCCAGCTGCTTCCTGGGAGCTTTGCCTCCTGTGGACTTACGAGCGGTCTGCTTAGTTCTTGCCATTCTTGCTAGTTTCTCTAAACAGAAGAAAATGTGCTGCAGTCAGGGGGCGAGCTGCTTTTAAAAAGGTTGAGCGGATGTGAAACAGTGACGCCAGTTCAGACCTCTAGCCTCTGATTGGTGACAAAGCCTCGTCTGGCGCTCAGTCCCGCAGGGGGGATCGAGCCCCCGCCTCAATCTCCGCTGCTCATTGGAGAAACGTTTTTCAAATCGCGGAGTGAAACTGCGAGCGGGGCCGGCCTCTTCTGCTAAACCAGAAACCTCTTTTCTGATTGGAGGAGGAGGAAAACGCGCGCGTGCTATGCGGAGATATAAGAGGGGGACATCTCGGCACAGAATTATATTTCTCTCAGGCTCGACTCTAGAGATTAACATACACCATGTCAGGAAGAGGCAAAACCGGCGGAAAAGCCAGAGCAAAGGCAAAGACTCGCTCCTCTCGTGCCGGGCTCCAGTTCCCAGTCGGTCGTGTTCACAGGCTGCTGCGTAAAGGAAACTATGCCCAGCGTGTTGGTGCCGGAGCCCCCGTCTACCTGGCGGCTGTGCTCGAGTACCTGACCGCTGAGATCCTGGAGTTGGCCGGGAACGCTGCCCGTGACAACAAGAAGACCCGTATCATCCCCCGTCACCTGCAGCTGGCTGTCCGCAACGACGAGGAGCTCAACAAGCTGCTCGGAGGAGTCACCATCGCTCAGGGAGGAGTGCTGCCCAACATCCAGGCTGT